ATATATATATATATATATATATATATATGCTGATTTTGTATGACATTTTTTGTATGATTAATTTTGAAAACATCTATGTATGCAGTGTAATATTTTAATAAAAAACAATAATACTTTTATTCAGGACTGTTTGATTGAGAGAAAATATACAGTAATTTCACTGCTGAATAAAAGTATTTCTTTGATAAATAATTATAAATTCTTACAGACCCCAAACTTTGATGGTTGCCCTTCTTAGTACATGGCAGATATACAACCAGTAAAACATTGGACACACTTGACTGAACGTATGTTTATCTTGATATATCTCAGGACTAAAGAAAGCAGGTTCTAAATTAATGTTTGTTCTTCATTTTGGTCACTACATAATTCCCAGTTGTGTTATGACGACTATTATTCTAACATGTGGAAAAATAGCAAAAACAAAGACTAAGTAGGTGCGTCCAAACTTTTGACTGATGGTATGGAAGTCTAAAAAGTTTGCTTGTTTGTTCATTTGCAAACTTTGCTCAGTATTTTAAGCCCAACAAGATATACCCTAGGCACAAGAGAACAAAGAAAAAACAAGTCTAAAATGTGATTCCTGCTGTGAGCTCTGGAGTTCTGGAGACAATGTACAATGTAACATCCAGCATCTGAGTATAACCTATATTCAGACAGTTTCTGATAAGGTCTTCAAACTCTTTTCTACATTGACCAACTTCAAAATCCTAGAAAACTTTACCAGTTGAAGCAAACATTCCATTAATGGCATTATGATAATCAGGGATATATTCATTTCGATTGCTCAAGACTCAATTTGTGAAGCTCAACAGGAGATTTTGACAACAACTAGTTAGTCAACAACTACAAGTGACAAGTTGTATCTGCTTGCTACTTTTGCTTGACAGTTTGAGATTTTGCCCATTCCTTAGACAAAAATTATCAACAAAACCAAGTTTTAATATGGTTTGTACATTCAGCAACTGGACCTGCAAAGAAGAAACCGCAAGCAGTGTAAATCTAATGAGAAGACATTACCTGTGTGACCAACGGCTCCAGCAACCTCTCCACAGTCAGTGTGCGAATTTCAAGACTTTTGGGGTCCCATTTTAGCAGGATTGGGGACGTAGCGCTCGTCATGTTTACTGTGGAAAGAAAGTAAGGGGAATGAATATTTGAAAGGATGAAAGAGATGTTAAAAACAAAGAATGACAGTTTAATAGGATGATAAAAGGAAAAAGGTGCAGACATCACAGACTCAGTTATCAGTTTCATGCTTCATGACTTTCTTAACAAAATCAAAGGCCGGTGAGCCTGCCGCACATCTATTATTAAAGCCAGAAAAGCTTCTTCATTGAAAAGTCTTTAAATGTTGCATAACAATCTCACTAAAACACTAAAATTGTGACTATAAAATATTGAGACACCGCATTACATTAAAAGCTAATGACTTCAGAATGAGTCTTAATGTGGGATCCAGACATTGTTGTGCAAGTCAGACTGTATTATCTCACTTTTAATGAGGAAAAACAAACACAGAGACTAGAGGGATCATAATATATTACCCAGAAAGTGATATAAATTTCTCAAATATTAATTATGAACCTAAAACAGTCGCAAAGTTCTCAAACATCACAAACTTTTAAATTAATTTGGTATCGGAGTTCCTAGATATCACATACCTTTGATAAAATAGTTGAAGATTTACAGTATTCATTTACTGAATATATCTATCTATCTATCTATCTATCTATCTAATACCTTAAAAAGTCTGTTTTCTTTTTTTAATATACATTTATTCATCAGGGGTGCATTAAATTGATCATAAGTGACAGTAAAGACATTTATAATGTTACAAATACAAACATATTTTATTTCATAAAACATCAGCATATTAGAATGACTTCTGAAGGATCATGTGACACTAAACACTGGAGTAATGTCCGCTGAAAATTCAGATTTGCCATCACAGGAATAAATTATATTTTAAAATATTTTAAAATAGAAAATAGTTCATTTAAATTGTAATCATATCTCACAAAATTACAGTTTTTACTGTATTTTTAATAAAATAAATGTAGCCTAGATGAGTATGATACTGTTCAAAACATAACAAATAAATTCTTATTTATTTATTTATTTATTTACTTACTTTTATTTTATATTATTTTATTTTTTATTTTTGACCCCAAATTTTGAATGGTAGCACACGCTTTGTAAGTATAGAATAGGATTATGTGTGTAGCACATGCTCAAATTTTGATAACCTGTTGTAAAATATCTGTAGCCCACCAAATTTGCACTTTCTAAACGATGGAAAATGTTTCAGTACAGAATAGGGTAAGTACATAAGAGACAGCTAAAGTGCTGTTTACATATACTTACAGTAAGACATAGTTTACAAATTTATATCTTGCCAAGAAGGGCATTTTGAGATGCTGCCATAAGTGTGAGCTTGTGCATGAAGTCATGATGATTTCTTTAAGTGTCATAAAAGGTCAAAAGCCACCTTGCTAGAATCAGCTACTGAAAAAAAAAAAAAGATTTTGGAGAACTCAAAAACTAGAAACCCTCTACTCATGATGCCTTAGGTCAGTGGTCGGCAACAAAACTGGCCCGCCAGCAATAATATCTGGCCCGCGCCCGCAGCCAGATTATTTTGATAGCGGCTGGTTCTGAAATAGATCTGTCATGACAGCAACAGTTACTCACAATCAGAGTATGTGAGCGCAGCGCGGAGTGGAGCTGTGTGATTTTGAATGGAGCTTTTCACTCGCTACAAGAGCGCTCCACCAATGCTCCATCACGAGTACAATTCATGCCAACAGCCCGTAATATAACTGCACATTTAGCAAGAATTCACATGTTAAACATATTTAGCTAGCTTGATAGGGAAGGATCACTTAAATCAGAAAAAATGTGAAGCTATATGATGACGGCAATGGACATAAGCGGGAAGTTATAGTTCTCAAGGAATTTGTTTGTTCCTTCTAGATACTGAATATTTTCAGCTGAAAGCATAATTTAAACAAGTACTACAACACTTATTCACATGCAATCGCTCTCTCAATAATGCATTCAAACAAATGTAATCTTACAGTGCTACTTCATCAGTATCCGATTTCGAATGAGCAGCAATCTGTAAGAAATGCATCGATCCTTAGGTAAAATAACTGACAAAAACGTAGTTATTTTCATCAAAACAAAATTTCATTTTCAACAAAATTTACACTGCAAAAAGCAGCGATTATACCTTTTAATGCTGACAACCATGTTATTAGCTTGTCATGTGGTAGGAAAAAAAGTTTGCACACTAGTGTTCCAATAAGCCTCTTTGAAACTCTCCTGTTATTTTATTTTTTTAATATGGGTTATGAACAGAACTGTGATATTTCAAACATACTGAAATACTTTGCGGAGCGGTGTTTCTGAGATCAGTGAGCACAGAGTGGACCGGGAGCGGGAAATGGTGAACCCGGAGCGGAGTGATTATTAAATGCTCGGAGCACGGAGGGGAAATTGTTGATGCTCCACTCCGCTCACATACTCTGCTGGACACCACCACAAAAATGTGGCTTTTTGTTAATGACTGTCCTCCTACAGGATTTAACACAGAGTAACAGCTCACTACCAGTTACAAAAGACACTGTAACAGTCTGTCACAGGCAATTCTAGTTGCATTTTTCATTAATTAATTTCTTAAATTATCCTTTGACTATGTTCTGGCCCGCCATCTAGTGGCGACATTTTTTTTTTGGCCCGATGCCAAACTTACTTGCCAACCCCTGCCTTAGGTTAGTGACTATTAACTTTCATTTAGTAGTGGGGATCATTTAACGTAGGCGTTTTCAATCATATTGTCATTCACTGGAGCACTGGCCCAGATTCCCTCCTGCATCTTCAGATCCCGCATCCAGATACTCATTACAAAAAACATATGCATGAGCGAAGCCCAGCTCCAGGCCCTTTGAACACCGGTAATGTAAGCAGGTGGTTCCTGATTAAGGTAGACATCTGAGGTACACAATCAGGCCTGCATAGCAGGAGGGAGGAACGTTTACCTGACTGAGTGGAAACTTAAGAGTAAAAAGCCTTCAAGCTGTGAGCGAATGTGGAGAAAAGTGGGTGAGTATGCGATTTCACTCAGAAACAACTTTTACAGAGGTGTTTTTTTAGAGTGTTCCATTTCGCCTCTGTAACAGAATTGTTCAGAAATACTTCTGATGTTACCTTCATAAATCGGTGTGTGTGAACAAATCTATAGAGTGAATGACTCATTCAATAGAAATTATAGAAGCTTTGCAATAATAATTAAAGGTGCACACATTTTTTTTAATGTAATTATTTCTGTTTTTCAAAAAGAAATCTGAAAATACTGTAAACCCTTTTACAAAATAAAAGTTTTACAAAAATGAAAACTGGGCAATTGTTAATTTTAAGTAATCTAATTATTTAGAAATACTAGTGATGCTATGTCCATAAATCAGAGTGTGAACAAATCTTCTGAGTAAATTAATAGTTCTCATTCACTTTTTTTTTTTTTTCCCTTTTGTTTTAATTTTAAGATAACAGTGTTCGAGTGCCGATCATGCTTTTGTCTTTTTTTATTTCTATTTAGCTTTAATTTATATTTCAGAATTAGATTTTTTTTTTTTCAGTTCTGGAGTCAGTTCACGTGGCACAATGTGAACTCTATGCTACTGTGATAAATCAAGATGTGAAATTACACACAAAAAGACAATATTACATCATCTGTAAGGTACTTTAAAATAACATGTCATACTGTATTCAAGTTTTTTCCCCTCTTCATAAAGATTTAACAAAGTGTTTGACAATGCTCCAGAATAGCAACACATGATGTTGAACAGATTAAAAAGTATTATTTTCTTTAAAAAAAATAATAATAATAAAAACTGGTAACAAGAAAGTTGACTTGAACTTTTTTCATTATATAAAACGTGTTTTTGCATCTCATTGACACACACTGGAGCAGTCTGGTGTGAGAAGAATAAGCATGAGATCAAACCATGCTGCTGTTTGCTCCAGTCAGAGTTCCTCACTTGTCAGTGAGCTACACACACAAAAAAGGCATCACCATTCTTGTGTGCTCAAACTGTATCTTGCATTTCCTCTTTTCTGATGTAGCTGTCAGTGAATCCTCAAGAGAGGTTCCAGACAGTCTCAGTCGCCGTGTCAAACACTCCCTAAAGCACAGTGTCAAACACACACTCCAGAGTCCTGCACAACAGACTTAACAGCTATTAAACCACACCTTTGAGACCTCTCCTGCTCAGTATGTCAATTTTACTCCTTACAAATTTGTGTAACCATTTACACTTCAACGCTTAAAAATAAAGTGGGTCAGTGGGTCTGCAGCACCTTAAGTTCAACAAAAACCTCCTTCTTATCAAGAACCATATTCTCTGCTCTAGGGTTCTTGAACTGGCTATACGATTCCTTGGAGATTAAGAAAAAAAGCCATTTATGTTGTACATTATAGGCTTTGGATCACCATTCTTGGTTTCTGAGTCTTTAAAGGAGATTAATAAAAAAAATAAAATAAAAAAAAAGGATTAGGTCATGGACAGCAGGAAAGAAAACTATGCTAAATGGAAAAAAAAAATTAAACTAAGCAGTAAGCACATAGTTAGGACATCAAAATAAAAAAAGGAGAACAAAACACTTCCCATATTTTGGTTGCACACTATTGACAAAAATAACAAAGAAAAAGCATCTTAAATATGCAAGTTACATGATATCCTAAACAGTATTTAAAACATTAAAAAATATTAATAGTCCATAAGTTCAAATCTATTAACATATTCACTGACATAAAAATGATATTACTAATTTATTACTCATTTATGTTTAATAGTATTACTAATATCGATCTTTAAAAGCAAGATATTTAAAGTGTTCCAGTGTTCCTAAAGTATATGCAATAGTTCCCACTATAGCACGATCAAATATATTATACATTGTTCCAATTTAGCAGACTTCAAGTATACCAAAAGTACAATTGCATGCATGGTATTTTTATTAAGCACATAAATATGTACATAAATGTATACTTAGCATGAAATAAATGTATTTAAAATACATTTTAGTACTTAGTATTTTTCACTAGGGAATGCATGAAGATGTT